ATGTTATTATCATTATTTTTATTATCCTTATCATTATTAATGGATTAAGTAATAAGTATTAAGTAATTATCCTCTTTGTGATTGTTATTATTATTATTATTATAATTATCATTATTACTATTATCATTATAATCATTATTACTATTATCATTATAATCATTATTATTATTATTATGATTACTGTTGTTATTATTATTACTATCATTATCGTACTTATTATTGTGATTACTGTTGTTATTATTATTATGATCATCATTATTGTTATCATTGTTATAATTGCTATTAATATCATTATTGATATGTTTATTACTGTTACTATCATTATTATTATTATTTTGTTATAATTAATATCATTATTATCATCATTATTATTATTATCATTATCATCATTGTCAACTTTATTATTGTTATTATTATTATTATAATTGTTATTATCATTATTATTATTATTATGATTATTATTATCATTATTATCATTATTATCATTATTATTAGTATTATTGTTATTATCATTTGCATTTTTTTTTTATTGTCATCATTATTATCATTATTATTATTATTATTATTATTGTTATTATTATTATTATCATTATCATTATTATTATTATTATCATCATCATCATCATCTTTACTTTAATGTTATGATCATTATTATTATCATTATTACTATAATAATTACTATTATTACTATGATCATTATTGCCATTATTATTATTACCACTATTAGTATATTTACTATTACCATTATTACTATTATCGTTATTACAATCATTATTATGATTATTGTTATTATTATTATAAGTATTATTATCATTATTATCATTAATGTTATCATTGTTATAATTACTATTGATATTATTATTGATATATTTACTAATATTGATACCATTATTATCATTATTTTGTTATCATTATCATTATTATTATCATTATTATCATTATTTTTATCTTTACTATTTCTTGTACGATCATTATCATTATTATTACTATTATTATTACTATTTTTATCATTATTATTATTACTATTTTTATAATAAAAGATAGGAAATATTACTATGATCATTATTAACATTATTATTATTATAATTGTTATTTTCATTATTATTATTATTATTATTATTATTTTATTATTATTATTATTAATTATTATTATTATTATTATCATTATTTTGTTATCATTATCATTATTATTATTCCCCTTGTTATTATCCTCATCATTATTGTTATTATTATTATTATCATAATTATTATTATCATCATCATTATCGTCATTATTATCATTATTATTATTATTATCACTATTGTTATTACTATTATTATTATTTTTATTATATTATTATATTATTATTATTATTTATTATTATTATCATTATCATTATTTTGTTATCATTAT